TGGTGGTGGACCCACCCCCCCCCTTCGCACCAGGCACCACACGAAAAAGAACTATCCATTCTGCACCCTTGGTAGGGAATCAGGGAACCTGAGCCCCACAAAATATGTTCAAATGTTCCCTGCTAACCCCAGTAATCTAGTAAGATAATATTCCTTACATAAAATACTATACCCCAAAAGGAGGATGTAATCTTACTCTATATTGGGTACCATAGTACCCCCAAATACAAGACTACTCACTTTTCCTAAGCCTTGGACCTTGATCTCATGGCCTAGGACCCTGATGCCAAGTCCTGCGATTCATGGCATCAATTTGCATAGGACCATGGTATCGATGCCAAGTCCAAATGTGGGGCCGCCGGTTGTCATATCTAGGCGCGAGATACCAGGGGCTACGTCCATCATATCAGCCTTGGATACCAGGCTTTCGGTCTAATACAGCTTATGAATATGTGCTGCTTGTAAAGTGATAGCCACTGACTTCTGTCTAAGATCTCCGTAAGAATCCCAAAGCCCCCCAGCCCCTGAAACCATTTGTGTATTTCCTATGAGCCTCCACTCCCCCTTGGGGACCTAACCCTAAACCGAAAGAAACAATAAACAAACCTAAACTTCAAACCCCAAACCCTGTAAACCCTAAACCCTGAGCCCTAAACCGCGTGTACCCGAAACCCTTACGTCGCCCGACCCCCTGAACCTCGCTGGCGCTGGCCCGGCGTCGTGAATTCTGACGAGACCCCTCTGGCCTCGCCTCTGCTTGTTACGGTGGATTTGGGGTTTCCCGTTTAGGGTTTAGGGCCTATGAAGGGGATAATAAGGTTATATAGGGATACATAGGGTTCAGGGTCTAGGGCTCAGGGTTTCCCAAAATTAGGGGTACCTTTGGAGGGGGTTATAAGGTTGTATATAGGGATATATATATATATAAGGGTTTTCTTTTTTTTAGGCTTAGGGTTTCCCAAAATTAAGCGTACCTTTGCACGGGGTTATGGGGTTATATAGGGATATATGGGGTTTAGGGTTTAGGGCTTGGGATTTTCCCAAAAGTAGGGGTACTGGGAAACTAATCTTATCCGGTATTGCGGTATAGGGTTTGCTTTTATGGTTGCTGGAGGCTTTAGGGTTTGGGGCGCCGCGTAGCGTTGGTCTTTAAGGGTAGTTTAAAGTTTCGGGTTGGGGTTTTAAGGTTTAGGGCGGCCACAATCCCTTGTACTCCTCTCCCCTAGTACTCAGGGGGTACATAGACCCTGAATCTGAAACCCTAAGGGTGAGTCGATAGAGGGATGTGATCTAGCAGGTTAACGGTCCCATACTCCATAAGCGGTTTAGCGTTTAGGGCTTACTGCCATTTTCTGCCTAACTGCCGAACTAACCAAAGTAAGCGAATGCCTTCAAAGCTAGCAGCTTAAAGAGAAAGTTTTACGAGTAATGAAAGAAGGAATTCAGAAAGCGCATGGGAACTACTGCAGTATTGCGAAACTGCAGGATCTAATATGGAGGTTCTTCCTCCCTCTGCTCCCTTCTAGTCACGAGTATAGAAAGTGTGGAGTATCATCGACAAGGTTCAGAGTCTAGGTTATGCGGGGATTGTAGGGTCTAGAGTCCCTAAACCCTAAAGTCGAAACCCTGAACCCTAAACTCCAAACCCTAAACCCTAAAGTCTAAACCCTAAAGTCTAGAGTCGAGAGTGCGGTGGGATGTGCTGAGATAGCAAAGAGGCTCAACTTTCTGGTTTGCTATGGAGTTCTCTGGGGTTATATTTGGATAATGGAAATAAAATGGAAACTACTATTTAGGTTAGGGTTATATAGGGATTATAGGGTATATATTGGGGTTCTATTATAGGGTTCTATAGAGTTCCTGAACAGATTTCTGGGGCTTTATGTTCCGGAACTGCTCAATTTCCTCTGGCAAGCTCAAGTAAGAGGAAACAACTCGTGGCCTTCAGAACCTGTAATAATTGGGTTTAGGGTTTTGGGTTGGGGAGTTGTACCTCTTTGTGCGATGTATAGGGCCGACGCACGACTAGTTTCTTCCTTTTGACGCACCTAGGGCGCTTGGGATATTCCCTAAACCCTCAGCCCTGCGCCCTACCGATTTACAGTGCTTTGCAAGTTTCATCGCCCTTGGCTGTGTTTTGCCGGATGCTTGACGAAAACATTGAACCGGGACAGCATACTACCCTACATGCTCACGACTCCTTTATAATCACCACCTTACACTACACATTCCCAATATGCACTGATTTAGATACACCAAAATGAAAAGATTTGACATTGAAAAAGGTGAGGGGGGTTAAGATTCATGTGAGAAGGATCACAGAACTGCCCTATTGTAACTTGCTAACACTGCTAGCTGGCATGCGAGCTTGTCTCGAACATTGTCCTTACAGTCAAGTGCATAACAAACATAACCTTGAGCTTCATACGCTGAACCCTCATCCTTCCTAGCAAAGACCCTGCAACGTGTGGCCTCATACACTTGAAGCCTTACATGTCAACGTTGAATCCCCTATCTCGCTCTGAAAACAAACAGAATTTGGACCACAACTGAGATAGGTTTAGTGCTAGCCTTATAGTTTGTGCACAGCCTACAAACCCCTTTCTGTCCCAACTTACTGGCAACAACTCCCTTAAAATTCTTGGCACGCCAACTTCCCCATACACCCTGCGCTCTACAAACCCTAAACCTGTAACCCATGGTGAGCCCGGTGGCCGGAGAGGGCAGGGAACATCGGCGCGCCATGATCTCTGGTGGCGGCTCCCCCTGCAGGTGAGAAGCCGCCAAGGCTGTGGGGAAGGTCGATTTAAAGGGGTATATAGGGATATAAAGTTGAGGGTTTGGGGTTTAAGATTTGGGGGTTTCACCCCCCAATGAAGGAGATCCACATGAAAGGGCCTAATGCTGCCCACCTCCCTAAACCCTGAACCCACAACCCTAAGCTCTGAATCCTGTAAATCCGAGGGCCTAAACCCTAAACCCTACACCCTAAACTCTAAACCCTATAAACCCTGGGACCCAAACCCTAAATCCTAAACTCTAAACCATATAAACCCTGGGACCTAAATCCTAAACCCCAAACCCTAAACCCTCAACTCCACCTGCCCGTGTGGCGAAGGCCCGGGACTCTCGACACGCGGCTCGCTCAGCGCGGCGCCCATGGCCGGAGCCTGGGCTACTGGGCTACTTGAGAATTTGCTAGGGTTTAAGGTTTAGGGCTTAGGATTTAGGGTTTAAGGGTTTAATATGAGAACAAAATTGGCTCTTATAACCCAGAAGAGGAATTAGGGGCTTTTGGATAATCTACTGTAAGTTCTACTGCAAGCAGCTTTGTTGGTTTAGCAAATTTAAGGGGTCACTTTTGGGGAGCACATACAATAAGGACTATAATACAATAGTATGAAAAGAGTTACCCGTATAGGCCTTGGTGGCTTTGCCTCTTCAAACACAGAGAACTTGAGATCGAAGTTGGGAAGAAATGTTCAGGAGCTTCTGCATAATTCAAGGTTTAGGGTTTAGGGTTTTGGGTTTGGGGTATGAAGATTCATATCTCTATTTCTGTGGCGCTATACCTCAGGTGGGAAATATGGCCCGTTGGTAGGGGGAGGGCACTATGTGTGTAAAATCACACTGCAGCAAAGCAAATCCGGAAACCCTCAAACCCTATAGACCCTGACACCTTAGATCCTGAACCCTGAAGCCCTAAAGCCTTAACCCAAACCCTTACCCTAAATCTCCTAAGCCCTGAAACCCTAAACCCAAAATCCTAAGCCCTGAAACCTTAAACCCAAACCCTTACACTAAGTCCTGAGCCTTGAAAGCTTAAACCCTAAACCCGAAACTGTTTTTGCCACAGGCTTTCTCAACAACCTGTTGGCTGGGTCGCAGGTGAGAGAACATACGGAGCAGACATCGTTGTTTCCACCTCCTGCCGCGCTTCCCCATGGTTTTAGGGCTTAGGATTGGGGTTTAGGGTTTGGGTGTTCAGGGCCTAAGGTTCAAGCTTTCGGATAGGGGGTCTAATTGCTTATGCTGAAAGGTCTATGCTCATGATGGTTGTTCTCGCTCGGTGGAGGGTTTGGGCCTTTGTTATCCAAGTGCATCGTATGTAGCCACCCTAAGCGCCAAATTCTAAATCCTTTGCTTATGAATCGCTATACCCTGAAAGCCTCAGCCTCCGCACCGCAGTAAGCTTGAAATGGGTATCATCACGGAGAACCGAATTCAAAATGACGCGGAAACTGAGTCCAGGATTATGAAAGTGTCTACTGAGTCTAATGATTTCTATTTGAAAGGCACTAACCTCCAAACCTCAAACCTCCAAAGTTTGAGCCCCAAACTCCACACCCGCTGGCCCCGATCATATATTTTGACATTCCCACAAACTTACATGGTTCTAGCCACCTCCAAAAGGTGACCTTTGGGCTTCCAGTTTTGTGGGGTTTGTACCTCACGGACCGCTCCGGGCTCATCTTCCCTACTTCCCATGTCACATGCACACCACGGAGCTCAGTTTTGTAAAACTTCATAAGCTGGTTCTTAAACTGCCGTCCCCCCAATGAAAATTTCTTCATAAACCCTTTGGCTTTTAGTCGATGATATATATGGTTGAAACAACCAATCCCAAAACAATACTCCTTCAAAGTAGACTACTCCAACCTAATTAGAATTTTTACAAACAAACATACCAAGCCAGAATTGAAGGGTGCGGGAAATCCGTAGACATTTAAACCCTAAACCCTATCCCTTAAAACCCGGCGAAGAGATTCTCCCCCGTAGGCGAACTAGAAAGAAGTCCCTACTGCGCTTATTACGATGATTATTGTGGTTGACACTAAGAGTCTTCCATTTGTACTATTATTACGGTTTACCGTTCTTGTTCTTACCATTACACAATTAGTATTGCTACAGTTGACACTGGAAATCCTGCGTGACCCTAAGTGCTGAACACCTTGGGAATTATTGTGCTATCATATACAAAGGTCATACAGGATGTTTAGTATCAACAGGAGAACATTTCTTGTCACTACTACTATTAGCTTTACGCTTGCCACCAAGAGGACAGGCACCTTCCGGCGCGAGCTTTGCTTGTTTTTGCGAGTCTGTCGGTCGAGGCTATCGCGCCACAGCCGACCGAAAACACCTTTGGATTCCCGAAAGCAGGTTGAGCAGTGAACAGCTAGATTCGTCCTCTTAGGTAGCTTGCTTGAAGCACAAGATATGGTACTTTCCAAAAAATACGGGGGCCCCAATATAGACACCAAAAACCTATAATCTTTAGTATAGGGACCCCAAAGAAACCAACCCTGATCTTGGGAAACCTCCATATTCCCCACCTAAACCCGAAATCCTGGCTATACATTCCCCCAAGCCTATTTTAGGAAACTATCCTATGCCATACGACAGGGAGAACATCACTGGTTCTTCGGGCTTCTGCTGTTCGAGCCTGGAAGATTTGGGGGGAGGCAGGGGCCAAGCAAAGTTTCAGACCTCTTCTCTGCTTTGACCCCTAAACCCTAAACCCTAAACCCTAAAAACCTAAGGAGCTCTAGGAACCCAGAGGTTTGGGTTAGACTTCCTTGTTCCGACCCCTGGGGATCTATAAGCCCAGAGCCAACCTCAAGAGGTGCCTCAGCATCTGGAGCCAGATGATGACGAACAACGAAAGAGAGCCAGCAGGTTTGGGGGGTTTAGAGTGGCTTAACTTGTGTAACAAAGTATCGAAGTATTTTGGAACTCAGTTATAGCATGTCTTCATACCTGATAGGGCGCCAACTTTGGCAAACTTGAATTTCCCAAGAAGCTCGCTCAACAATGCCGTAGGGGGACCATAGGGCAATATTAATTCGCTGCCTGACCCTCGCCGTCCCACACACCTCAACCTTAGCCTCCAAACGCTTAGAATAATGTTCGAGGTAGAGCATGCTATAGGTGTAGAAGGTCTCTTGGGAGTGAACTTCCTGATGGTTTAGGCTTGCACATTACGTAAGCCCTGAGCCCCAAACCCTAAGCCCTAAACCCTCAACTCCCTGAAGGCCAAGGTCCGCAATTTGTAGGCAGGCACAACAAGCCCAGAACAACAAACACTTAACACCAAACACCCTAAACCCTTTAGTCTTCCTTAAGTACATCGAATATGGGGTATATGGGGGCCTTCTTTTTATATACCCAAAGCTATATTCTTTCTTCTTTTGGGGGGCTATAACCCTAAACCCCCATCCTCACTGAAGGCCAAGGGGCCCGAAACCTCGTAGAAGGTAGTCGAGTGCTTCAAGTGCTGCACTTTGAGCAAGCCTTGTGACAATGTTAATTACACTCGACTTCTGTTGATACTAAAGTTCCTGCATGACCTTACTATCCTAGAATACCAGAATTCCCAGGGTATGAGGAAATTTTTGGTCACGCAGGACTTTTTAATATCCACCGCAAAAAGCCATGGCCAAACGCATCTGATACACCGCAGACATGCTGCACCTTTCTTGGTGCAAACCCAGGTCAAACGCATGAGAATGCTTGACCGCAATGCGCTAAACACGGATTGATTGTGGTTGAGAGCCCAGCACCTATCCCTAAACTATGTGCAAATATCCGCGATAACAGTGTTCCTCTCTTCTCTCTTTTGGCTTTCCATTCTTGGCTTCGATTGTCACTGCCACTGAAGCACTGGCAACCAAGGCTCATCGCTGCAGATGCTCATCCTTCATAAGGGTTTAGGGCTTAGGGTCTTCTTAGTACCAAGGCCTTCTTACTGGTTGCTTGGATTGGATATGAACAAATGGGGCAAGAGGTTTCCAAGGTTGCAGTTTTGCAGTGAACGGCACGTCCTGTTGTCATGGCGGTGCGGGCATCTAAGGGTGTCAGATATGACCTATAATCTCAACTCCTAGTATGCCCCTTAGTATATAACCTCTAGAGTCCCCTATATATTCCCCTATATAGCCCCCTTTAGGAGTTTAGGTTATAGCTCATATATTAGATTGGGGTCAGGCACCTCTTTGTTGAGCAGACCTCTGGACCAGATTACTATCAGAGATCCAACTAAAAAACCTTACATAAGAAATAGCCCACATGTAGGCTCATGTAGTAGGTGCTGTATACTCTTTGGGGCTCCTCTCTCCTCGCCATCACGTCAGTGCTCTATGTACTATAAGTACATGCGGAATATCCCTTTGAAATATTGTCAAACCAGCTAAGATCATCCCCCCCTGCAGCTTTGGAACTTTGAATACGTTACCTCCAAACCTTAAAGCTCTAAACACCAGGAAACTTCTAAAGCCCTTAACACCCCAACCCCTAAATCCTTAAACATGCCAACCTCTAACAACTCTGAATCCCTAAGTCTTAGGCCCTTGAAGCCCTCCTTCTCCAAAGCTGGCGAACTCTTCAGCGCTTCTTCCGCCATCCTAACCTGGCGAAAATCTGAAATTCGGAAAGGCTTTTGGGTTTGGGGGGCGTTGATGAGGGGATGTAAGGGGGTTTTCGGGGTGTTGGGAGGGTTTGGGGGAGTTTAGGGCTGAAGACTTTCAGGTGTGATTCGCATCCTTTCACATCAAATCCCAAGCCCGTGGCCTAAACGGACCCAGAGGTGAAGAGTTTTCAGGCATTAAAGGCATGCTTCAACTCACTCCTGCATTCCCGGTGCCACTGCTCCCCCTTGAATACAGACTCTGCTACTGGGTAAGCTGTTAGGCGCCACAGGCAAGAACTAGGCCGGCCCTACGAATTGGATGGCCAGTATGGGGGACTAGACTATCAAGTTTCCAACTACGAAGCTAAGAAGGCTAGCATCATGATTCAAGGAGGTGGCTGCTGCTGCATCAAGGGCAGACTAGCTAATGTTGCTTTAGAGAACCGTACATTTCCCTCATCCCTACACGGAAGCTTGATTTGCTGCCCTGGCGCATGGTCATTGAGCATTGCCACGGCTTCTCGTGTTTGGGCATTCTCTTCGATGCCTCAGGTAGGCTCCTAAAACCTTCGAGTTATAGTCTAAACTCCTAGTATCCTCCTTAATAAGCCCTATAATAGTCTCCTATTCAATTCCTTATAAGGAGTTTAGACTCTAGCTCTTTGCAGGGCCTTGAGGAGCAGCAAGCTTTGTTTCACTGTGGACACTTCGGACCTCTGCAAGCATCTGGGAAACATGAGGCGCACACGAGAAGCCACTCTTTTGGAACTTTTCGATTGAAGGTAGGGCAGACAAAGCTGCATGATAAAAGAAAGATGCAAATGGGGGTTTCCCAAAATGAGGGGTACCTCTTTGGGGGTCCTCATAATCAGGATTATGGTATATTGGGGTCTGCTTGGGGGGCTCTCCTATTTTGGGAAACTACCAAATGCATTGTTCTCAACGGTCCGCGGCCTGTCGCCTGACTTCATACAGCTCAAGTGCAGACTTGCTCCCGTAAATAAAAGGGTAGAGGCTTTACGCGAGAAGGCCCCAAACAAATAGCATGCAGCTGATAAGCCTTGCTGCATCCAGGCCTCTAAAGAAGCACTTGCCGGAAAATCGAGTACGTACCTGTTTAGCATACATCCGAATATGCGCTGTTATCAGCCTCAATACATTGTCCCCCAGACCCTGAACCTTTGTCACCCTCATGTACACCCCTGGATGTTTGAGGCTAGCAACTGCTTCGAAGGGCCGCCGCCACAGAAGCTGTGACATCACACATGTCATCCAGCTCGGCATGGAGCTCCTCTCACGCGCTTGACGTCTTGAGGAGCTAACGGATTGGGGTGGTAGTGGATGAGGTGGCTGGCACTTGCCCAAGTCTAGTCAGTTTCGAGTTGCAGGGTTGTCTGTGGGTATATAGAAGCTGCAGGGACTGGATAAGGTGTTGTAGAGATTGGGGGGGATTGTTTCTGGAGGTTCCGAGTTGTTAAAGCTGCTGCCTACAGAAGGAAGGCATACCAGCTATCATTCTGGCAGATACAATCTTTGCAGTGGGCAATTATAACCCTTGTAGTTAGCGCCCAACTATCAACTCAAAGTCCCCCCCCCTGTGAGAACAATTCGGTTATAACTACTGCTACAAGTGCGTCGGTTGTACTTGCAAGTGGTTTAGTAACCCCTATAACCCAAAATATAATTACCCTAGGTGTCCCCATTACTTAATGTTAACCTACTTATTAAGTATTCTGACGTCCGAGCCTGCACCGCCGCGGCCGCCTCGATAGCAGCAGCTAGCGGACCTCAAAGCTTGACTGGGTTGCTGTCAGGGAACGTACATTAGGCTACCATAATGGGTATATTACAACAGTTAATAGGGTTTCCCCAATATAGCAACTTCAAGTAAGTTCCTTAACAGCAACCCAATTGATGCAAATGATCCGCGCAACCTCCGCGCAACCTCTAGAAGCGGCCCAAGGGCCAAGGTAGCTACATGGTGTAGTGTAGTTATACATGACGCCCACTGAAATTGCAATGATCATGGGTACCCTGGGGCCGAATCTGTGTACTTGACAGGTACATGGACCCTGTGGGACATGAAGCCTCAACTACTGTTCCCCAAGGTGGTGGAAAAGAAAAAGCGGGATTACAGCAGGAAGCCAGACATTATGAGGAGATCACAGTATGCTGTTTTAGGTAAATCTGGCCCCATAAGTAGGGGGGGGATAGCTTTAGGTGTGTGGGGTTTAGGGTTCTCCAGTTGAAAAGTTGAATCAGGGAAGATGTGGGTCTCTTGAGCCAATCGTGGTTTTCTGCCCTTGTCTACAGAAAATGGTTTCTAGACATTGTACAGTCAGACGATTATTGCATAAGCCATGGCTCTCAGATTTTGATTGCTCGGAGAATATTTAGAGATCAGTCTACTAGAATTACTAGAACAGAGAGTTTGGATGCAACAGGCAGAGATTTTGCAACGGTCTAGGGGTCATTGACCCTTGAGAATTTAAAACGCCTTTGGATGCACCCGGGGGTCTGCGATTTGCCCGGTACTATGATGTTGTCCGGAAAGCTTAGGGAAGTTGCGTCAGGGTCCTTGGGGATCCTTGGGGTAGAAATCCAAGATCGTTTCCATGACCTGTCTCGTGCCGAAGAGTGGCTGCGGGGGCTCAGAGGCTCATCGTCTGGATCGCCTGGACCGAGGGCCAACAAAAACCCTGAAAGGCTACAACTGAGAGAAGGAAAACCCGTTATCGTCTCCAGCGTTGCCAGTATAATCGAATTTTCAGGTTTGGGGCTTAAACTCTACAACTAGTACCCTAAACCCTAAACCCTGTGCGCACGCTGTATAACCCCCGTGTTGCCCCCCGTATAACCCTTCTATAACCCCAGAAAGGACTACAGCTTAAATCATATGCGGGACCCTGATCCCATTCTTGGGTATATTCCTTAATGAGGGGCGATTGACACTAAAATGCGACTACCTGGTGCTTAGCACAGAGTGAAGGAATAGATCGCTATAGCAACCCCTGCGTGATCCTACTAATATAGGACGTACTGTTGATGCGAAAAGTGTTGCCGTACCTTAGTATAGTATGATACCATACTTCTTGAGGTTGAGGGCGCTTAGGGTCGTGCGGGAACTTTGATTCGCGTCTCAGTATGGTACTCCCCAAAACATGGAAGACGCAGGCTTCAGCTCAATTTTCAAGAAAAAACAGCTGGACCGCAGATCAAACAGTGTCAAACAAAAATCTGGTGAGCAGTTTCCCCATATAAGCCTTACCTAGCCCTTGCAAACCGTCTATTCTACGCACCTATTCCTTGTGTATGCCTCATCTAAGGATACCCACCTGGTAACTCACACCTGTCCCTAAACCCTTGACCCTAATCCCTATACTTACGTACCCCCACATAACCTGAGAATTTCCTTAAGTTCCTCCATGCCAGGGCTACAAGAATGGGATAATATAGGGATAATACACCAATAATGGAGAGTCAAATGGAAAAGAAAATGGAAAATGAAATGGAAACTCCTAAACCCTAAACCATAAACCCTACCATCGGAAAGCAAGGATGCGTGGCCTCCGCCACTCATTGGGCTCCTGGGCTGCAATGTTGCAATGAAGGTTTAGGGTTTAGGGTTTAGGGTTCAGGGACAGGTGGGTTTAGGGTGTAGGGCTTAGGGTTTAGGGTTGAAGGTCTAGGGTTTAGGGTTTGGCACTTGGGTTTTAGGTTTTAGGGTATAGGGTTCGGAGCCTAGGGTTTGGGGTTCAGGTTTATTCTAGGGCTCCCAAAAATCGGGGACCCGCTTAGGCACCCCTGGGGATGTAGGAGTGTAAGGGACTTGTGGTGGTGCCTGGTAAGTAGTCTATTGAATTGCTGCTGAGGAACTTACGTACTATGGTATCCTTACAATGGAAAATTCAGTTTAGTCGCTGTCAGGGGCGATTGCAAAGAGCTGCCATGTCTGGATTTAGGTCTGTGAACCCTACTTAGACCTTGCGCATGAGCAGCGGAAGCCCTTGGGAGCTGTTTGCTGCAGTGTGTTGCCCCATGCCCCATGAGGAACATCTTGTGTTCGTCGGTGTTTGGACTGGGTGCAGGTGGGCTTAAATGACCAGACGATAAGGTTTTTCACGTCCTGAACCTTCAACCCCAAACCCTACAAACTAGGCAAGGCCTAGTGACGTACATGCCTAGTCAGGGTTTCCTGACGGAGGATGTCAACGAGTATTTGGATGCTTCTTATGTTATGGCAACTTAAACCGAAATCCTTCACAGCAACCATTCATACTTCTTGGCTTTAGACCTTTCGTTAGCAATCTCCAATTTCTGCGAGTGCCTAGAGGCAAGACGGCACCGCACCAGTGGAATTGTCATGTCTGGGTGGGACAATAATCGGCTGGGACAGCACCAGCAAAATCGACCTGCCACTAGTACACGAACAAAACTTGAAACCGAACTCGGCCTCAAAACCGGAAATCCTACCTTACCCTGAGACACACAGGGTCATGAAAATCAGGGTAGTATCTGAGAGTCCGAGGATGAGCCTGACCTCTCAAATCCTTCCACCCCTCCAACTCAGCTGAGTAGTGTACCAATGCTGAACTTAGGCTACACTCTGTCAGTCTGTCAGGGACTAGGGGAACTCCCCCTAAACCCTAAAACCCAAAAACCCTACAACCCTAAACCCCTAAACCTTAAAGCCCTAAACCCTTAAACACTTGAAATCCTAAACCCTAAAACCCCAAATCCTACAACCCTTAATTTTTGCACTCAGCTGAGGCTCATATCCTGCTCCATGGCTTGGAACTTCCTTAGTCGATCAAAGCTCTGTCCACTCGGACTTCAGGGCTTCAGGGCCAACCAAAGCAGTGGGGTTTAGGGTTTTAGGGTTACAGGGTGCCGCTTATGATTAGTAACTGTAGGGACCGAAATAATGAGCAACATCATTTCGACGGCTATCTGAGATATGCTATCCTATAATTGTACGAGGGATATGGAAGCATAATATTAGTAATT